CCCCCATTTGCCCCCACAGGCCCGTGACTGCAAGGTGCTGGGGGACCTGGAGGGTGCCCGGCGGTACGGTGCCCGCGCCAGGGTGTTGAACATCATCTGCTCCCTGCTGATGGTCGCTGCCGTGGGGGTCATCATCGCCGCCGTCATCGTCATCGCCACGTCCACCACCGCCACCTGAGCGCTGCCTGGCCGCCGACCTGCTTTCTGCCACCCCGTGGGGTGCCTCTCCTCACCTCTTCTCCTCCCCCCAAAATGTCCTGGCTTTGGGCGCGTGGCACAAGGGGAAAGGGAGCGAAGCCGCGTCCCCTCGCCGCCCCCACCCCCGGGTGTCCCTGCACAGCCACTGCATGGAAGGGGATGGGTGGGCCAGGATGGGACGTGGGGGACAGCCCCCCTCTTTCCTCTGCTTGTGCAACTCAGCAGGGGGCTGCTGGCCTTACCGGGAGCTGTAACACACGCGTAGGTCACTGTTGCTGCAAATAAAGCTCGTCCTGCCAAACCCCCTCGCTTGTCACTTTATTCACAGCGGGGAAGAAGAGGGTCATTGCGCATCTTCGGGGCAGCCTCCTCCTCTTCCTCCTCCTCTCACTGCTGGCTCCACAGATCTCTGCCTCCATCCCCGCCGCGGTGCAGAGCACTTCCAGCCCAGATCCCAGAGAAGTTTCTTCCTAAAAGCTTGAGCATGGTAGAAGAAGGAAAGAAAAAAAAAAATAATCTCCATGTTTTTCTGGCTGTACGCACCCCATCCCGCCACACAACCCCCATCTCCTCCCACTTGCAGGGAACCCTGTAGAAGTAGCTCTTCCACACTTTGGTATTAAGTTCCCATTTAATGCATCCAGCGGCCCAAACGTGCTGTGCACGAGGGGTCTTCCTGGCCAAGGCCCCCTGGAGGGATTGGGCCGACGATGTTGGTGCGAGCCAGAGCAGCGAGAGATCCTGGCACCGAGGGTCTGTCTCATATCGGCCCCTCGGGGTGACGGTCGCTTGGTTTCAAAATCATCCCTTGGCTCCGTCCCGACAGTCGTTCCTGAGCGCTCCTCCCTCGGTCACGCTGGAGCCGTCTCTGCTCCTCATCGCTGGAGGAAGGCTGGATATAAAAAGCCGGTAGGCTCACAAAACCAAGTTTGTTTCTCCTAGCTCCCAGCCAAGCATGTCCGATAACCACAGCCCCGGGAGGGCTGTCATTTCTGGGGTTTATATATAGAGGGGACGAGGCCGTGCCACAGGCAAGGACTATATAAATGGGCCGCCCTGCCCGCTCCCCCAGCCAGGCTGGTGGAGCAGGAGAGCCGCGGGGTGCCCCTCTCCGTGGCCATGGACACCTCCTACCCACGGGAGGACTACCTGCCCACGGGGTCCCACAAGCGGGGCCCGTCTCACACCGTCTCCCCACCGCCACGCGACCACCTCGTCTGGTCCATCTTCAACACCATCTACATGAACTTCTGCTGTCTCGGCTTCGTGGCGCTCGCCTTCTCCGTCAAGGTACGGGCGCCGAGTGGGGATGGGAGACCGAACATTTGGGGTCACCTGGGAGCGCTCCCCGTGCTGATGCCGAGGCATGGACTTCCCGAGGAGACACAAAGCATCAGAAATAACTACCGGGGGG